ATGAAGAAGAGGAGGAAGAGATCGAGGAAGACGGGACCCCGCTGCGGAGAAGAGAAGGGAAGCAGACAGCGGCGGGCATAGAAGAAGGGAAGGAGGAAAGAGGAGAAGCAAGTAGCACTCTAGCTCCACCGGGAAGATGGAGAAGCTTGTAAAAGAATGGGTGGCAAGATTATCCCTGGGGGAAGACAGAGAGGCCGAGTTGATGGTCCCCGAGGGCGAAAGAAAAGCAGTCACTGGGTCGGGAAAATAGACGAGCGTTCTCAAGTAAGCGAGGGGGTAAAGCAAAGGGGGAGAGACACATCAATTACGTTGTCTGTTCTCACATACCTGGTACTAGACACAGCCAGCTGAGCCAGGGGCATCAAAGAGGATCCCTGGGCAATCCCGCTCGCAGAGTGGGAAAGGAAAGTTCAGAGTGCATGTGGGGCAGAGTGACGAAGCCGGAGAGCGGGGGACAGTGTTTAATTACAACCAGCCCGCCTCAAATATACCTAACCGCCTAATGCTGTCGGATACATTTGGAACGCTACTGGCAGAGAACGTGTGGAGATCACAATGGAACCCAGCAGCCAGAGACTGTGGAGTGTGAGAAAGGTGGACGGAGAGAGAGGACTGTGAGCATGGGGGAGCAAGTGTATGTGTGAGAAATTGGGTTAGAGAGTGAGTGGAGAGCTCACGGGGGTTTCTCTTTTTGCTGATTTATTTTATTTTGAATTTCGCACCCCTGGCCCTAGGAACTTCCCGGTTTATTCGAGCTTGAGCTGGTGAAGAGACTAGCGGGACGGGAGTGGGGCTGAGCTCGTGCAGAGAAGTGAGGCTAGAGAGGGAAGGTGAGGAACCAGTGGAAAAGGGGGCGCCTGACAATGATGACGCAATGTGATTTTGGCCCAGCGCTCTGAATGTCACAGTGAAGAGATTTGATCAACCGCAGGTAAGTGGCGGGTGTAACTAAGTCTTTCTAGAAGTCATCTGATTAGCGACGCGCATGAATGGATTAGCGAGATTCCACTGCCCCTATCTATAGCGAGGCAGGCACAGTTGTGTGTGTGTGTGTGTGTGTGTGTGTGTGTGTGTGTGTGTGAGAGAGAGAGAGAGAGAGAGAGAGAGAGAGAGAGAGAGAGAGAGAGAGAGAGAGGCCCATGAATGGGGAAAGGTGGTCACATGGCCGTTTATCAAGTTCTATGAACCTGATCCGAAGCGCAGCCAGGTTCATCTAAATTGGATAAAAGAATGTAAGTGCATGCCCAGGTTACTGCTGATTACCATGAACTGGCCCCATTATCTTTGAAGATTCATTTACTGCTGATTACCATGAACTGGCCCCATTATCTTTGAAGATTCATTCTCTTTTTCCCCTTCCAGTGGGAAATAGGACGGCGCCACGGTGCACAGATGACGATGTGGCAAAGCATCTTCCCATCTTATGAGTTGGGGTAAACGCTGTCTTGGCCCACAGAAGCGGCGCACTTTCTTCTCCTAGAGTGAGCAATAGCGCCGGGGAAGAAGATAAAGAAAACCTTGATGTATTTTCCCGTCCTTGATAAAAGTTCATCCTCATGTGGTGAGTAATCAAGTGAATGAGCAATAGCGCTGGGGAAGAAGATAAAAAAGATATTGATGTATTTTCCCCTGTCCTTGTTAAAGGTTCATCCTCATGTGGTGAGTAATCCAGTGAGTCCACCGAGAGGGTAGACGATTGACAGTGTACCATTCCATGTTCAAGGAGCAGATTCACCCTCCTCTTCCTCAATGGCTGGTTGGCTCACAGTGCACCACGAGCCAAGGGCCTGGCAGTACATCTCCCCATGTTCCAGTGTGAGATGCATTCCCGTTTTGTCCACTAATGAGCTCCAGTGCACTACAGACCAAGAGTTTGGGTGTGTATCTTATCACGTTCGAGCAAAAGAATCATCCCTGCTTTCTGCATTCATTGAGAACTAGTCAGAAAAGGAGCCCCTTGGCCAGCGGGATCATCATGCTGTAATACCCCTGGGGTTTGACTCGTGTGCTGTCCGTATCCCTTGGTCCTGTCATAATTGGTTTGTCCTCTCCCGCAAAGAACATTTGCTGCCTTGCTCCTGATGCCGACATACTGCTGAATTTCCCCCTTCAAATCAAAGCAGCCTTTCAGTTCCATGTGCGAAAGACAAATTTTGAATATGCCCTCGCAAATCTGAAATTCTGCACGATGATCTTCAAGAGGGGAATTTCTGCACGAATTTGAGATCTGTTGGTCCGATCTCTTTAATTTATTTCCGTTAAACCACCAGTACCTCTCCCTGCTTGAAGAAATCAACGCGGCCGTATATGCGCGGGGCACCCACCGGCGTGCGA